AGTTTTAAAATGATTTTTTTTAATTTTTGAAAAAATAAATCAAATTGACACTTTTTTGTTTTTATATCATGTATATAAGTCAAGTATACAAATATAAACTTTTATATATATCCAATATTTAACTTGATACTTGAAAAATATGTATTTCTTATGGTAGTACATAACCTTCTCTTTTCAAGTATAGATAAAGAGAGTAGTAGGTATTAGCATGCAGTGCAAAAATTTAAGTTAAAGAAAAGTCTTAAAAATACGTCATTTTAATAAAATATCATAAGAAAAAACTAAAATAACCTCATTCTGACTTAAAAAAACTAGAATATCTTAATCATTTTCAATAAAAATTTTATTAAAATAATATAATTTTAAAGTATATTTTATCAAAATTTTTACAATACAACCTGATAACCGCCTTTGCCATAAATAAAATACTTCTAAGTTACCCCTTTTCTTTTCTTTTTTGAAATGCAAAAGTTTTTCTATTAGTTTTATTAATGGAGTATTAAGGGGTACTTCTACCCCTCCATACATATTACATTTACTAGTTTCCATAAACAAAAGTACAAGACACCACATAAGACATAAACTTACAACCTTGCAGGACTCAGCACAAAATCCTAACACTCCCACCCTTATTCTTAATCAGTTTCACACATGCTTTAGGATTTGCTATCCAATTTGACAAAGGAAACACATCCACTCCTAATCATGTTGTTATCCAGTGGTATGCCCTTCCTTATACTAGTCCCAATAGATTCTTAATATCAACCACTGTGCCTTGAAAGATTCTATCATTTCTACACAACCATATGGTCCATATGAAAGCAAACCAAACAATTTGTCATCCCACATTAGTTGACTTTCTTTTAGTAGGCCAACAGTGTTGCGTGAAAGCCTTACAACGTTCCGAGTGTAACACATATGACACATGCCAGTAGTTAAAGCACCTAAACCACAACTTTAAAGTTACAGGACAAGTTAATAATAGATGATCAACATTGTCTTCATGTTCTCTACATAACTCATATAGACCTCCATCTTCAACATTAATAATTCCTCTAACAATCAACAGATCCTTTGTCAGCACTTTATTTAGTAGAAATTTCCACATGAGGGCATATACCTTCATAGGTACCAAAACATTCTAGCACCTTCTGAAAATCCCTTCCTCCCGTTGGGGCTTGACATAAGCTAGATATTTGTAAGCAAACTTTGTCGAATAAATCTCATCTTTCTCTAATTGCCATTCCCACTTGTCTTTCATGTTCTAGTAAGGTAAAATCCCTTGGAGAAAAGCTCTAAACTATTGCTCGATATTGACTTCTCTTTAAAAAAGTTGCCTACTCCTATTAACATTCCAATGCCACTTGCCATTTGACCAATGTCCCATCTCAACAACTGTTTTCCCCTTCTCTATGGATAAAGCATCCAAATTTGGGTAAGTTTGACATAGAGTGCCAACCCACACCCAATTATCTCTCTAGAAAGACATTGAGTCCCCTTTACCTAAAACTAACTTAAATTCCTTTGGCAACCAACCCTCTTTTCCTTCAAACACTCCATTTAGACTACAAAAATTCTTTCACCATTGAGAGCCCCAATTTCCTTCCCTATTTAACTAGTGAGCCCAACTAACTCTATCCATTCCATATTTTGTTTCTAACACTTGCCTCCAAACACCATTTCTCTCATAAGCTATTCTACCCCACCATTTTCCCAACAAAGCCACACTAAACACTCTAAGATTCCTAATACCCAAGCCTCCCAACACCTTCTCATTGCATGCTTGCTCCCAACCTACCCAATTAATCTTTTTCACCTTAATCCCCCCCCCCCACAAGAACCCCTCCTAATTGAATCTAATGCTTTTATCACTTTTTTTGGCATCAAAAACATTGATATCATAAAGACCAAAAGATAGCTTCGCATAAATTTAATCAAGATGCATCAGCCACTCAGGGACAAATTTCGAGATTTCCACATTGACAGCTTCTTCTAAAAGTTATAAATGAGTGGTTTCCAATACTTCAACCTCATCATATTGGCACCAACTGGAATGCCTAGATACTTGAAGGCAGCCTCTCCAACATCACAGTTGAGCACCATGGCCATATTAGTGATCTATTCTTCATTAACATGAACTCCCATTAGCATGCTTTTCATATAGTTAATCTTTAACCCCCAAGACTAGTTCAAAAGCTCTCATCATCCTTTTTATTGCATACACATTCTATCCCAATGTCTTCGCAAAAATTATAGTATCATACACAAACTACAAATGTGAAACACCTAACTCACCAATCCCAACTTATGTTGCCTCTAGCAATCCTTTTTGCATTGTTGATCTCATAATCCCATTGAGTCCCTCCACCACAATTAGGAACAGGTCGCTTGCCTCAAGTCTCTACTCATAAAGAAACTCCTTTGTAGGACTTCCATTTATTAAAATAGAAAATTTGCTCATTTTTAGGCATTCCTAAATCCAACTTATATCCAAGTTGTTTTAAAGCCCATTTTTGTCATCATGAAACTAAGAAAATCCCAACACACTTCGTCATAAGCTTTTTAAAATCTACTTTGAAAATCAAGCAGCTTCTTTTCTTCTTTTTGATCTCATTAGTTACCTCATTTGCCACCACCACTCCATCCATTAATTGTCTACCTACTACAAATGTTAATTGATGCTCCCCTATTATTCCTTCTAGGACTTTTCTCAATTTGTTAGCCAACAACTTGGAAATAATTTTGTACATACACCCAATCAAGGAAATAGACCTGTAATCCTCTACACATACTGGATTTTCCTTTTTTGGGATTAACACTAAGGGTGGGCATCGGTACAATATTGGATCGAACTGAATCGATTCATTATTGTACCAATTTTATTCGATATTCAAAGGGGGTATCGAGTACCAAACTGAAAAAATTAATCTAGTACAAGATTCGGGAATTGGTACTCAGTACTTTTAAAGTGAAAACTGAGTACTAACCGATTGGTATCCATTAATTTTGATTCTGACCAAAGCATGCATCAGTTATTTAATATTGTTAACTTTTGTAGCTACACCCAAAAAAAAAAAAAATTCAACATGTAGTTCCTAGTTTAATATCAATGACAAATAATTTGCTTTGAAATTTAAAACATGAGGAAAAGGCATGCGGTTTTGATACCTAAGAAGGTAATTTTTCACATGCAATCTCAACATTTTCAAAAATGCTTTGGCAATAGATCTTTCAAGGAAATAATTTTAGGAATCAAAGGAGATTGAAGATTTGAAGGGCAAAGGGGGAAGAGTTGAAATCTAAGGGGAAAAGAAGAAGAAGAATTCTAGTGAATGAGGGGGCTTACCAATGGAACAATTTCAAAATTTGGTGGAGGGATTTGCCACTTTGTGAGTGGAAGACCAAAGAGCAAAGATTTCCTGTCAATCTTCCTTTTCGTTGATGGGGTGGAGGTGGAGTCTGAGAGACGAGAGGAAAAGCTGTCGAGCAAAATTAGAAAAAGTAAAAGAATAAGAATTGCGGATTTAGTTTTCATTATTATCATATATCCCTTTCTTATTTTTAATTAACAAAATAATTTTTAATTTATTAATAAATTTATATTTAAATAAAAATATATGATATTTGGTACGATATTTGGTATTTTCAAGTCATAAACCTAATACTGACCAAATAAATTAAATGGTATAGCCCTTGTACAAGATTTTCATTCCTGTTGGTACATTCTCGGTACCGAGTCTCGAATAATTGGTATGTCCTAATGAGACGAGCGGCAATACCAACTTTTGCCCACCCCTAATCAACACCACAAAAGATGAATTCGAGCATTTCACCAACTAGCCATTTCTTTGAAAATCCTCTACAAATTGGAAAACATCATCCTTTATTGCTTCCTGAGATGCCTTGGGACACCCAAAATTAAATCTGTTTGGACTAGGGGCTTTAGAACTCCTACAATTCCAAACTGCTTGTTTTACTTTCACTAAAGTTGGCTATAAGCATCTTGTTGTCTTCACATGAGACTTGTTTAAAATTGATTCCTTCCAAATTGGTCTTGACCATCCTTCATCTGTAAACATCTTCTCAAAGTACACTGTCAATCCATTTTTAATCTCATCCACCTCCTTAGCATCTTTTTCATTAATTTTTACATAATTGATTTCATTCCTCCTCCACCTTCCTTTGATGCATTGATGGAAGAATTTTGTGTTTTCATCCCCTTCTTTGATCCAAGTTTTTCTTGATTTCTGTCTTAGTATACTCTCTTTGCTCTCCAACAATTGCCAAAGCTCCATACTCTTTTGTTTTTTGCATTCAACTTCTTTTGCAGATAATTGTTGGGATTCGCCCTTGATATCCAGAGCTTCAACCTCACGCCTGACCTCTTCAATTTTGTTGTCCAGATTATTAAAGTTCTCCTTGCTCCAATTTTCAAAAAAAACTTTCATCATCTTAGTTTCTGTTCTAATTTGAAACCTCCCCACCCTTCCACTTGAAAGGATTTCCACTGCTCAGCAAATAACTCTTGGAATCTAGGAACCTTCATCCATGCATCAAAGAACCGAAAGGGTTTTGGTTTTTATTGGGCCATAAATATCATATATATGCATACCTGATGTTCACCCTTGAACTCTACTTTTCATTGGGCCAAATCCAAATTTTGGAAATTAAAAAATACTTCAAATTTATAAATAAAAGAAATTACATCGAATGAATTTAGCAAGAGTGTCTAAATGATAATGATAGAGGATTTCTTTATCAAAAAATTTTAACAAATAATTAATTACCATAAAAATATCTTCTAGTATATTTTTCATAAAAATCATTGTCAAAAAAATCTGTGATAGATAAAAAAACAAAATTTCCAATTAGCACATGTAAGTCAAGATGTGAAAATATTTAAATATTTTAAATAAATTGTATTTATTAATAATATTTTAATATTTTATAATTTAAAATTTACACTTTATATATATATATATTAAGTTCAAACTAAAACAAAACCATTTTCAATCGAAAACTCACCAATTGGGTACGGATTTTAAGGTTTCATTTGATAATAGTTTTTGTTGATTTACTTTATAATTTTTATATCTTTTTATTATTTTAAAAATATATAAAATATTAATAAAATTAAATATTAAATGTATAAAATATATTCTATATATTTTTAAAATATTAAAAAAAAATAAAAAAAACTTATAACTATAGATGAGCATTATCTGAGGTAATCACTAACGGATGCCACCCTATGATCCGGATCCGAGTCCAAGTCGGTGGGCCGTGGTAACCGATTCATGAGGCCCCCAGCCCAAGCCCCTCTTGACATAGGAGGAATATTCAGCAGTATACATATAGAGATCCATTCATCTCTCTCTCTCTCTCTCACATAAATCTGCAATCAGGTAGAAAACCCCAACACGTTAAGAGTTTCGCCGACGTTGTCCCAACTCCGTCAGCTCAGAACTACTTCCGTTGCTTCCCATCTCAATCTCAGATCATTCAGGTACTCCGATCTTCTCCTC